AATGCATTGATTTTCTTTGGTACTCTGGAGATAAATTATTGTTCAACTCGCACTGCTGTGCTTAGCGAAGAAACTAAAATTCTTTCTTTGTCTTTCTTATCTGTTAAGAGAACTACATTTACCGTTCATTAATCGTATTCTTATTCTATTGAGATCTATGTTGAACACAAAGACATTTGACTTAAAAAATATGGAGTGCGATCCTTTTTCTTATATTATCACATAGATAGAATCAGAAGATATGAACAACTCAATTGTACTATGACTGGAACATATATCTATAGAACTTCATATCGAAATATTTGAAGACTCCCATTCAAACGAAAAGTAATTTTTAATAAAAAGCTAAGTCATAGAAGCATTTTTTTCTAAGTATTTTATTGAAATTCTAAATGAAAAAGTTTGATTTTCTCGGTAAAATATTGTAAATTGATCAGTAAATATACAAATTTCGTTAAGTAAACAGACAAAAATATATAAAGAAAAAAAAATTAGTACAATGCCTGTAGAATTAAAATACACAACACAATATAGCTACTGTAACTAATCATAGAAAGATTGTTTTATTCGATCTATTTGAAAGTAGTGCATATGGTCCAAATTTTTACTCCTATACTTCAACACTTCTTTTAGATCGTGTTGCACAAAATTTAATTATACACTAATTGTATTGAACGGAGCTTTTGTTGCTTTTTGTGTGGTCGTCCTTGTTTTCTTTTTTCATTCAGACCTATATAATTTGCTGCTGAAGGTGGTTTGAGAAATTTCAACCTAATTAGATGTGAGTTTTTTCCTTTTATATTTTTGTACTTCATTTTTTGTAACATTTTCTGTCTCACCAGCTCTAGTACATAGCAATCAGTAAAGTCTTTTGTTTGAGATGATATTCTTAATGTTGACTTTGAGGTTTTTGTAAAATGATATGCATCAGTCTATTTTTTTAAGTCTAATTGTTGATTCTATTGAAAATACAATTTAATCTATTTTATTCTCATTGTGAGACTCTGGCCATTTATTTACATTACCATTTGTAATTGTAAAAAGTCTTGATAGTGTTTGTCTTCAGTATTGAACTGTTCTATCCCTAGATATTCTGAAAATTCTTCTTCCTTGTTCTTGAATTTCTTCAAAAATAAGAACAATGCATTTCTTGAGACTATTTCACATCACTGTTTAAACTATCTCATCAATCATGCTCATGTGCCATACAATGTCACACTGACTATTCAAGCAGGTTTATACGTTATTTTTGGTAATGGCAACTATGAAATACTTGTCAAAGAAGTTCTAAAAGTACAAGGAACTGCTAATAATCCGGTGAGTTTTTACAATGGTTCTGCAACAGATATCAAATATATGGTAACACTGCAAGCAACTAATCTTACAAGAAGTTTAATTATTCATGCTGTTTTCACTGGACCTAAACAAAGGATTACAGATTACGAGGTAAGCAATTTGTGTTGTGCTTTTTTTTTAATTATTCTTCGAAAGTATAAGCATTCGAGGTTTTTAGCCGTTTTTTTTTTCATTATTATTGTAAGTGATCTATGAAATATTTAGTTACGCATCGCTTTTTATTCAAGATGAACTTTTTTATTCGATGACTCTTTTGTTTATAGGCTCTCTAAATTAATCGTTTTTTCGTCTGGCATTCATAAATATTCTGAATATTCAAATACTCTTGCTATTTTAAAAAAAATGAAGTGTTAAAACAAAAAAGACGATGAGCGATAAATATCATATTCCACGATATTTTTTATCAGAATTGCATACTGGATGTTTCTTTTAACGCGCTTCTCATAGCGTCAGCTTGAGTCACTGCTGACTAATATGAATTTCGTCCAAGCTTGTCAAGTAGAAGTAGTCAGAGTGGTTTTGAAAAAACAAAATTATTCTTAGAAAATACAAATGATACACGTTGGAAAATGTTAGGGTCATTACCTTATTTGATATTTCGTTGCTTGCGACGTTGCAATACAAGACTTCAATTCTTTAATCCTTTGATACATAAGTATAGCTAATGTTTGTTCCTTTTCTGACTTTAATCGTTAGAGTATGAGTTTTACTTTCCATTATCTGTTTATAGGTAACTATCCTTTTTACTCGTGTTTCGCCTGCTCCTTCTCTGAAGCTGATCTCAGCAGTAATTAACGATTCGATGGTGTCAACTAGTAACCCTATGAGTGAATCGATTCTTATAATTAACAGCAAACTTTTCAATGCAATTGTCCGATCGACAGCACTTATTGACGGCATTCAATTTGTAAATTCCAAGTTGGAAATTTTGACAATTAGAATTGATCCAACCTATCCATTTTCAGGAAGTCTTCCTGAATTTAATGATTCAACAATCGAGAATGCAGTTGTATTATATCATAATGCTTGGTATTCACTATTAGTCCATATTAGGATATTTCGAAGTGTAATTCGTCATTCCTTCTTTACAGCTCCTGCATCTAACAATAATTGGTATACATGGATGAACTTCTATTCTTTCATAATTGTCGACTCAACATTCAGGGATGTTTCGATGGATGTCCCGGGGGTATTTTACTGTTACGGCAGCTCTTACATTCCTAATGCTATAGTTATAAGCAACTCTACATTTAACACTGGTACTATAAAACTTTTCAGCTATGTGGTATCAGTAAGATTTGAAGATTCGACATTTCACGAAGTCAATATGACATATATAGATCCCAACCAATGCAATTCCAATAAAGGAATAAACATAACAAACATCATCTTCAGAAATGGCACTATGGTTTTGTTTGCATCTAATGTCGTTATTACTTATTCGACTATCACACTCCAACCACCGCCATTGGTATTGGGTGATAATTCAGCGGTTTTTTGCAGTTCTATCAAACGTACTTCGTCTATTTTACAAGCAAATACGACAGGAATACAAGCTACTACAACCGCAATAATTCAATCGTCCATGAGCTCTTTTGAAGCTGGTCTACAAGTGACAAACTTGAGTATGCAACCGGGCTCAATTTCGAGTTCTAGTTTCATTTCCAACAGTCTATTCAATATCCAAAATTTTGGTCCGTATGATATTCAAGCAACTGGCAACTGGTGGCTAATAAATACAATGCAGCTCAAATTTACTTTCGAACAATTTGTTTTTTGAAACTAATAATTAATTAACATAGTCTCATACTTAAAATTCTTTATTTTTTATTCATTTTCTTTTCTTTCAATTAACAAAGTATTTACTAAAGTTTTTTATTAGACGAATGAACTCGTTGAAATCTAGAGCGATTAGAGTCATTATTGCAAGTGTATATTTCATTGAATGATAGTGACGTCCAATAATGTTTAATCTCGTTTCAACGAGAGTTTGCCGAACTCTGTCGGTGACTTAATCGATGGAATATCCTTTAGTCGTTTTATTATTTGTGTCGTGCATGAAAGAGATATACACATGTTTATTATGAGTGGTGCAGCATAAATTTGACTGTTTGTATTTTAAATATTCGTGCTCTTCACTAGATTCGACGGAGCTGTTTCTATAGCTGAAAGATGTCTTGTTTAATTCTGTACAAAATGATTTAGAAACAAGTAGACAACTTGTTTGTACTTGTTTCCACTGAACGATAATAAATCTAATTTATATGTTGAAATCAAAACCGAATATACAGAATAATAATTCTTTTTTTTTTTATGTGTCAGAGTCTTTCACATATTGATCGTAATTCGAGCAAAATTAAAACAAACCAGACTTACTAAGATACCAATTGGTCAAGAAAAACTGTACTACTAAACTCACGTCTACATTGTTTGATGTATGTATGTTAAAGGTTACAATGGTAAAATTTTACTGATTGCATGACGTCAAGTAATTACTCAACTATTTTAATCAGCTTGATGCAAGACGAATAGACTAAGTTGGTGCCGGCAGATGCAGTTCATATGAATGCGCAAAAAAGTAACATAACATCTCGTTTATATCCTTCTTGGATCGTAAATTTCTTATTGTAATAACTTGATAGAAGGATGTGGATGTGAAAATTCCTTATCATCTATGAACGTAAATAAACAATAGAAAAGTAATCAAGGACTTAAAAGAACGAAATGTTTTTATTTTGTTGAACATGACAAAAACTACAATCCACTTCGAAATATAATGTGTTTCACTTTTTCTTTTTGAATAACTTTCAATAGGGACATCATAGAGACCTGCGAGTTTTATCATTGAAGAGATAAGACCAAAAATTATCGAAGCATCTCGAAGTTTGATTGATCAGCTATTCAAGAATCCAATGAGGTCTTGGTGTGAGAGTTGTAAGACTTTTTCTGAGACATCTAGTTTCAGTTAATCGACTTGTAATCTTCGAATATTCCACAGGTAGCCTTCATGTAACGAAGGAATTGACATTTCAACAATCTCTATCAAGAATTTACCTGATTGATCAATTACTAATCAAACAAATTTTGATATATTTCGATGACCTCGGATCTTCTCTCTTGAATAGTGAAAACCGCAGATCTCTATGATGTTCCTATCGCAAACTATTCAAAAAAATAGTGGAGCACATTATATTTTAAAATGGATAATTGTGTCATATGATTTCATAGATGAGTACATTTTGCTTCATTGCCATTCACACACATAGACCTCTTACCTTTATTAAATTTGTGCGTGCTAAACGTTATTGTGCTCATGGTTTATCAATTCTTTATAACATAATTTGCTAAACTATTCTACAAAAATTTAACTACAACTTTTAGTACGATAATCAATGGGATCTGTTTAATTTATTTCAATGTCGTTCTTTTTTTTTTCTTTTGCTATTAAAGACATGAATAGCAGGTGTTCGTTTATGTTTTATTAATAAGACATTTCTCGGAAAAGAGATTTGTTATTTGTCGATACTATGATTGCTTAATATAAAAATAAATTTTCTTGTAGAAAATCATATATAAATTTGTTTGACATAATGGAATAAGAAAAACGAACACAAGAATAAAACAAACGAAATTTTCGTTTTCTTTTAATAAGTAAATAATTCTGGATAATTAATTTTATTCATCTGTAATTTCAAGTTTTCATTTGAGGTTGAATTACCATTTAATAGTTTAGATGGTAATTTATCTTTTGGTAAATGACGAACATTTAATAATTGTTCTATATGTTGATTGCTTTGCTGTTTCTAACAGATATAAATAATAAAATAAAATAAATTAAAATGAAATAAATGATTTACTTTTTCATTAACAAGAACTTTTAATTCTTCAAATGGTTTTGCATGAAATTTAGTTATTAAACTTTTATTTTCATCATAACGTGCACGTGTTGATTCATTTGTATTAAATACATTATGTATTGTTTCAAACGATATCTCTTCATTTTGATTTTCATTCTAAATTGGAGAATTTTGATATAATTTATTTTGTGTAAAAATTTTAAAAAAAGTATATATAAAATTACCCGTAGATCTATTCTACTACTTAAAGAATCGTCCGTTTCTGATTCTTTATTGTCATTGCCACCAGGAGAATCAGGATCTATGAAAATAAGAAAATTCACAATTCAATTATAATAGGATGATGAAAGGAAAAGAAAAAGGAAAGAACGTAAGGTGAACCTATTATATAGCAAATGATGAATGTGCCTTTGTCGTGTTTGCCCAGACTACTGATATACGCCCGAATGAGATTAAACAGCAATACCGGCTAATAAGAGAATTTTTTTTCTTTTTATTTGACATTTTTCTTTTTGCTTTTTCTCCTTATTTTTCTACTAAAAAAACTCCTAGAAGAAAAAACGATGACGATTAAGGACGTACATAACAAGCACGAAACCGAGTGAAGAACGAGAAAATTATTTTGATTAATATTCAGCAATAAAAATTTCAACCATGTTCACGGTACAATTAATTCTATTAGCTTTAATAGGTCTAATTGGCATAATATTCAATTGGCTTTTAATATTAGCTATTCAACGAAAAACATATCATTATCAAGAATCCTATCGAACTCCAACTCCTGTAACAAATATGTTATTATTACGAGCAAATTCATCAATAAGTGGTCAAATAATACGACCACCATTATTACCATCATTACGTTCATCAATATCAACATTTGATAAATATATTTTAGCATTTTTAATAAATGATATATTTGTTTGTAATTTTCTTATACCATTACGTCTTATTGATATATATCAAGGTTTACCATGTGCATTTTTTTGTTTTATATTAAAATTTTTCGAAAAATTAACAACAATTATTGAGATAATTATTATTACGTTACTTTTAGTAACATCATTAGTATATTTTTGTAAAAAACATTTAGCAACAACAAAATTATATTTTTTATGTCTGTTTATTATGACACCATTAATTATTATCTATTTAACAACAACATTAACACATCTTGATATAAATGAATACGAATCTGAACAACGTCCACCATCATGTAAACAAACATTTATTTATATTAATAAAACAACATATCAAACATTAAATCTTATTTGTTGTTTAATAACATATTTAATTATTTTTATACAATTTATATTATTAATTAGAATGAAATATGCAATTAAAAAATATAAACAAAATAGTTTAAAAAATATTACTGAAGCGGCAACTTTGACACGAACTGTACAACAAGAAATGTCATCATTGGATCAAGTAAGAATCACAATTTAGTGTAGTTACCACTAAATCGAAAAGTATTGTCTATCAAATATCAACAAAAAGAAAAAGAAAACTTAATCATGATAAAAAAAAAAAATAATTTTCAAATCACGTAAATCTCTAGGGGAATAACATCCAAAAAGTAATAGCGAAAGAAGTGTATACTTTTTGTGATTAAAGCATATTAATATTTTGTTAATATAATATGTTAGAAAACTACAACAGAATGAACGACATCAGAATTCAATTACGCAGTTTTAGCTTATAAAATTCCTAGAATCTTTTCCCATATAGTCACCATCGAATCAAACAGTTTCAACATTAAAGAATTTTTTCTTAATCTTAATGACTAATTATCATCAAAAAAGAAAAGAAAACATTTTATTCTTTGTCAAATATAATAGAACTATTCTCATTATTAATTCTTTCTAAATGACGGAAATGGAATATTGGAAAGTTACAACTGCCACTTCTATAGCTCTAGAGCTGTAGTACTCTATCAAAAATCACATTGTAATAATTCATTTTCGCCAGTCTTCATTGTAGCAATGGGACTTTTTCATTAACAAACAAAAAAATGTTTCTCTTCTCTTTTAGTTCTTTAATAATGATAATTATTGTCAAGACTCTTCCGACTTAATTATTTATCAATTAAAAATTTTCTTTTTCTTTATTTCTAGAATAGTACTGAAAACATCAATCGTCGTTCAATTCAATGTCCTCCAACACATTATCCATCAACGAAAACATCAATTGCTACTGATGGAACACCACCAACACAACGTTCATTAAAAGCATTTGATTATTTAACTTATTTAACGATTATGGAAAATAGTCAAACATTAATTCGATCAACATATCTTATTTTATTTATTTATTTATTTGTTCATATACCTTATTGGATTGATGAATTATCATATATGCAATGGTCATATGAATTTAAAGATATTTATCTTTTATGTCATATACTTAAACCATTTTGTTATGTATCAACGAATGAAAAATATCGATATCATATATTAGCAACAATACAATGTAAAACATTTCGTATATTACCAACTATTTTACGACGTAAATCACGTGTTGTTACATTAAATGATGATAATACTAATTTAAATATTCATAATAATTAAAAAAAAACGAATACCTAACCTGTTTCAAGATGAATAACATGATTAAATCTTGATATATCATAATTAGATACTTTTAATACATTAATAATTATTTCTTGAGTAAATAGGCATTCTTTTGGAATACATTTTGACAGATTTTCTTTTGAAGTAGAATGAAATGCATCTGGTGGTAGAATATATGGTGCGAAAAGTTCACGATTACGAATAACCTAAATGAAAGAAAAAACAAACAATATCACTTGTGTCTTATCTGGGAACAACTATTTATGAAACTCCTATTAATTCTATAAATATATAACGATAAGTTTAATAGCGTGTATTAAAATGTGTGACTTATATATGTTCCTTTAACATATCGTTATGATTAAAGAGAAGATGTATAACATTCATTTTAATGACTATCTCAGTGTGTAAATCATAAGACAAGACGGATGCTTTTATCTGTGAGAGAGATCAACAGATGACACCTTGACGACGTGGAAAAAATCTAATTACATCAACAAATTATAATAGAATATATGTCAATATGTAATTTTCTTTCTATATATTGTACGAATGTATCTGACTAGTAGATAGAATATATAGTTTTCATTGAATAATGGAAACGTTGATTTATAGTATAAAAGTCATTTTCAATAGTAACACGTCTGAGTAACATAAAAACTGATATCATCATCATCATCAAACGAACAAATGCTACAATTATTATTGTGAATTATTAATAGTAATGAGTCTAACAAATGTGGAATATTTCAACAGACACCAACAGGTCAAGCTCGTATTAGGTCTACAAGGAAAGCTTAATGAGATTAGTAAAAGTCAAAAAATGGATTCATCACTATGAAATTTTAGCGTTGAGTTATGAGGACGGTAGTTTCTTTGTCAGCATACAATTAAGCTGACTATTGTTTGCACATAAAATCGATGCTTTTATTTACGTTGAATGCTTTCTTCTTCCGCTGTAAGCTTGTTGTATTAGATTTTTAAAAAAATTTGTTAACGCAATCCCTGCAGGATTAATATGTGAAATAAGATGAATCTGTATATATTATAAATCAAAGGAAGATTACAGCATTCTTTTTTTTTTGTAAAGAAGATTAACGAGTTCGTCGATGTTTTTGTTCTCATTCTTTGCTATTTACTTATTTATTGAGTAGACGTTAATTATATATTATTCAGTTATATGACGTTTTGTTGCTGTAAGCAACTTTTTTTTTTTGCACGGAAAAGGCAATAAATTTATAAAGCATATACACTAACATATAGATTTTCAAGTGGATTATCTATTTTACAATAGAATAAAAACAAAAGCAACCATAGACAGTAATAGTTTAGACTGATGATAGTCAGTTTAAAAATTTAATATTTTAAATGCATGTAATGTAAATTGATCTTATTTTCTGTGAAGGTAATCACAGTAACAAAACGTTATATTATTCAGTAATATATAGATATAAAATTAGCATCTACTAAATAAGTTAACAGTTAAAGAAGAAAGTAAAAATGTTTATGAATTCTACAGCAGGTGCTTCAGTTTGTGTCTTGCAACGTATCGATAGTTGTCATATCCATGGAAGGGAGGAGGAAGTCTAAATTTCTACTGTTATACTTCAACACTGTTTATATTGTGTTTCTGAAACAACAAATCTTGATTTTGAACTACTCATTCTGTTATAGGAGCATATTTTTCGTACTACATCACGTCGTTAACGCTAATTCTTTTTTACCGATAAATCCTTTGAATAAAACTCTCTAGCGATGATCTTTTTCGAGTACCTAAAATAACTTAACACATAAAATTTAACTCTAGGAAAATAGAATGACAGGAGTTTTTCTGTTAAGAACTTCACAAAAATGCTAATTCTCGTTAGTTAATTAATCTGTCTAAAAAATTATTCTATTTATTATTCCATTAACTTACCTCATCAACGTAACGAGAAAAAGAAGTTATGTCATATAATTTTGACATTAAATTAAAATAAGCTGCAATTAATGCATGTATACAATGAAAATTAATTTTCGATAATTTTCGTTGATCTTCATCCATCATTTTTATTATTGCTGACTAGAATGTATTGAAGAAAAAAATTGAAATATTCGTTTTTCTTTTTAATTTTTTTTTTTTTGATTAAATTTACTTGAACTTCAAGACAGAAATGAATAACATCAACAAGAACATCTTGATCGTCAGCTTCAAGTGTAACAAGATTCATAAGACAATAAATAGCATAAAAAATTTTTTTTGTATTATTTTCTATTAATATACATTTATAAAGTTGTGAACAAAATTGATGACCAAACTGAAAGAAAATTTTTAAATTAACAAAACAAAAACAGACATATAATTATATACTTTTTTCATAAATGCAATATCAAATAGACGATTTTTTTTTGTTTCAATAGGTAAATCAAGTTGAGAAATATCTTTAAGTATTCTAGAATCAGAATAAATAATAAATGAGATTTTTCTTTTTTTTTGAAAACATAAAATTAATAATGACCTAATTTTACATAATCTATCAGCATAATGTCGTCGATCAACAAGTACTTGAAGAATTTCGAGTACAATTAAACGCACTTCCGATTCAGTTGTACTCATCATTTTAATTAATGGATCAAATAATTGATGAGGAAATGTTGTTAGAGTTGATGTTACTTCATTTGATTTGTCTGACTCATAAGTTGTAGTAACCTAAATCAACATTGATTAGAAATGAAGACAAAAAAAAAACAGTATTTAATATTATTATTATTATTATCAGATAGAGCAAACCGATTTAAAAAAAGAAATTATATTAGCAATAAGTAAATATATCAAACCTTAGGTGAATTTGTAAGAGTAGATTGTCGAGAGTGTTTTTTAAGTGTAATCTAATTTATAAAATATGAAGACAAATAGACAGAGAAATATAAGCGTACTTTCTGTATTGTTTTAAGAAGAACTAATTGAAATTTTAAACTTGCATCACTAGAAAAAGATTTTTATGATTTTTTTTTTCTTCATAAGAATATTA